AACAATCCTTGTGTACCAAACACATCAATAACTTTTCTCCCGGCTACAACATTTTTATCCAAACACGTAACTGTTTATTTTTAAAATAGGTTTCAGCACTTTAAAAAATGCCTTTAAGATACTTTTTAAAAGCTATTTTTTCAGTCAATCCAAACAAGCTTTAAATAAGAAAATAAGAGACTATATGAATTAGTTTTGGACTTTTGACTTATAAGCCAAAAGTCATAGGTTACAAACTCTAACCTGATTTCTAGCTTATTTTTGTTTTAAACCAAGTGCATACTTGTAAGCATTTTTTTTAATTTACTCAAAAACACTTGAAAAATGCTTTAAAACTATTTAGAATAAATTAATCCGAACATGCTCAAGTTAATTATAATGCAACACATCACATTCCTCTTCAACTAATTTTATCTCTAAAATTAACTGTTTGATTATATAAGTATTTGATTTAACAATTGAATCCCGCTCATTTTCAAATCTCAAAAATTTATTATCTAAACGAATTAATAATTCTTTTAGACTATAATTTTTTCATACCACAGATTTAATTTTACTATTGCATATTAATCTCTAACCAAATTGAAAAGGTTTCGATCACAAACTGAAAGAAGAAAAAGACAGAACAAAATATATGTATGGAGGTGATTAGCAAGAGTAGGGGTGTTCATGAGTCGGTTTAAGTTGATTATTGGTCAAAATTAAAATTAAACTAATTTAATCAGATTTTAAATTATTAAAATCCAATCAAATATAATATACATTTGTCGGTTGGTTATTATCGATTTCGATTTAATTTAGTTTGGTTATTAATCATACACAAAAATAAAAAAAAAATAAAAAATTCATTCAAAAAGAAAAGAATTCTCTGCCATTTTAGATCTTATAATTCTTATATAAAAACTCTAATTATGTTTAACCTTAGAGGTCGTTTGGTAGCTGGATAAAACAAGTCTTATCTATGTATTAGAGTCTGTATAACTTATACGACGTTTGGTAGGTGGATAAGAAAAAAGTTATTCATGTATTTAATTAATACGATGTTTGGTAGGTGGATAAGAAAAAAGTTATTCATGTATTTAATTAATACGATGTTTGGTCTACGGTGTTTGGTAAGTGGATAAGAAAAAAAGGTATTTTTTCATGTATAAAATTAATATGATGTTTGGTTGATAATTTTGAAATTCGTATAACTAATACATATATAAATACTGATGAAATTTGTGTATTATTTATGCGGAATAGAAGATGAAATAATTAATACGTGTATAGCTAATACATGAATAAAAAGCTAAAAGGACAATATTACCCTTATCAGTTTCACTTGACTACTTTCTTCTTTTACATAATCAAAGAAATGTTTTAATTTAAATACAAAGTTAAAGAAGGAAAGAATATAATTGTAAAAAAAGGTTATAATTTAAAAAATATATAATTTTACTAATTTTTAATATAAAAAACCAACATCCAAAGTAATAATTTATGCATAACTAAATTCCGCATAACTAATACTCACGTTATTAATACTTGCATAACTAATACACTAAGGGGTCGTTTGGTTTGAATATGAGTTATGATGGGATAAGTTATGTTGGGAT